CTGCACTGGCCTGGCACTGTCCGGGGCAGCAGTGATAATAACAGATGTCTTACACAGGGAGGTCAAGCCTTGTGAATTTGGGGACGTCTGAAAATGCAGACTAAGAATGTCGCACAGCTGATCTGTGCAGCTTCAAGGGATTGAAGAAAACTCTTGTCCAGTACAGTACAGGGTCGCAGGGCACAAGGCAGGGTACACCCTGGACAGGACACCAGTCCATCACAGGACACACAGACACACCCTGGACAGGACACCAGTCCATCATCAGCAGGTTCCAATCGGCCAGGTCTCAGCAGTTTCACTTCAGCCACTGAAGCAGGGAGCTGGCTCTTCTCAAGACACCACTGGATGAGATCCTCCAGTTAGGATAGTAGGCGGTTCTTTACACAGAGGGTGGTGGGGGTGTGGAACAAGCTGCCCAGTTGTGTCGTCGAAGCCGCCACTCTGGCTTCTCTCAAGACACAGCTGGATGTGATTATGGGATCCAATAGCTACTCATAAACTGCTCCCGCAACCCCCTCAAAACCCAGCTGCGCTCATACTCGTCGCTGCACGGTCCGAGGCGAGAGGAGGAGGCGTGGCCAGGAGGACCTCGGCGCCTCCACAACAACGTGGAAGTTAGAGACGCGAAGAGTCCCCGACTGCAGGTCGGCTGGACCCGGTACCGACCGCCGGCCCGGCTCAGGCACTTGCTGAAGAGCGCCTTCTCCTCCGAGACCACACAGACCGAGCGGGTTACAAGGGTAACAGGATCTCCGGTCCTGCTGGGGACGGTGGATCGGACCGGACCGGACCGGACGGAGCGCACCACACGGACCCCGTCCGCCCGGGTTCGAAATAGCTGGTGGGGAGGTGTAGGCGAGACCAAAACTGAAATTAAAGAAGCCTTGAGGCTTAATACTGTTGTTTCTACTACCACTATGATTATTATTATTATTATTTAACTGCATGACGTAGCGATTTACTCAAAACAGGTAGAACACCATTTGCAAAAAGTGGAAGAAAACTTTATTTCAATACAAATTAACAGACTTCCACGATCCACCTTCCCGTCGCCGGTGATGCAGTGGGACCCGCCTGTGGAAATTTCAGGGGAAACCCTGGAAGAAAATCCCCCCAAAACGAATTACTGACCGACCGCCGGACCCCCCCGCCTCCCCATTGGCCGGGCCTCCGAGACGTCACATCCGGTTCTGCCAGACTGGGGCGATGCGGCTGCTCTCTGATCCGAGTCCCTGGTGTCTCGGTTCGCGTCTCGTCACGTGTGAACCGTCGCCCATAGAGACGTAAGTTACAAAATTAACACGTTTTTCAAACTTCTATTGAACATCAAATAACACAAAAAGGTAAATAAAAGAGTTATTTTTTACATGCATCAGTTGTGTTTTCTGTCTTTAACGGAGTTTAAGTAAAACTGCAATTCCTCCTCAGAAGCATTAAAGGAGGCAGTAACATTTGACCATTTTGTTATGTGAATGTGATATCTACCCATTTCTCCTAACAGATGAATTTCAGTTGGTTTTCCACATTACGTCCTGCAAAAGTACAGCAAAACTAAAAATTCCTGATGTCTTGCTCGTGGGTCTGCAACACGGCAGAGCTGTGTCCTGCAGGTCGCTGTGTATTGAAGTGCCCCAGTGCGGACCCCCACACCCCTCTATGGGGTATTCAGAGACACCTGCTCTCCCCCAGCCGGAAACCTGTGTGTGGGGGAGGAAACTTGCAGACTCCTCCCGGGCAGGGCAGTGTGGAACAGTGGTCAGGGTTCCGGGCTCTGCACCTCTGGGGTGGGAAGTT